GGATAAATGCTCGGTCATATGCCGAGCATTTATGCCTCTCCCTCAAGTACCCAAATCCCCCAGATCGGCATCTGACATCAACTGAACATTGAATACTTGGGGGAACAGTTTCTCGGGGGGAGCCGATCGCGTCATCTCGACGCATCAGCTATTAATGCTTAGCCATCATGACAGTAAGTCTAGACTCCTAGAGTGCATGTGCTTGTAGGCTCGCATATATTTGTCTTGTCACTATTATTCATTCCGCCATAAATGAAGGGTCACATCGCATTAAATACGATGTCAGCTGTCGTACTCGGCTGCTCCGTGTCACCATATCTCGGCTTACCCTTTCGGCGCCCTTTGGACATCCCAACGGCTTCATTATTCCACGTGTCAACCTAGAGGCTGTAGAGCCACTTAGAGTCCCGCCAACTTCATATACACAACCCTTTTTTAGACTTTGCCCCAGATTTTTATTTTGCAAGCCCGTCTGGATCTACCGTTCAGTCTTGGAGTCTTGCACATATTGATGCCTGCCGAAGGAATATTGAACAATTCAAGTTGAGTTCTTCATGTCATGGTCACTAGTACTGTATATGACCCGTTCTGACACTAGTTTTTTCTATATTCTTCTTGTTCTATAGTGTTATCGACATTCCATTTTTCAGTGCCATATCAAATGTTCTCGACCGATTGCAAAACACAAATAAACCTCATTGCAAATCTAAGGTGTCCTCTCTGAACCACCGTTGAACAGATGGTGGGCAAAGAGACGTCAAAGAAAGAGTCAAAACAAATGTTTTGGATATATCTCATAAAATATTTTGAAGGGTCACTGTATTTTGGGTACATTTATTATTTTTTGGAGTAAAATTACTATATTTTAGGTGAAGTTACCATCTTTTGGTTAAAGTTACTATTTTTTAAGTTAAAGTTATCACTTTTTTTATTTTTTTTTACTTTTCGAGATAGTACCAAAAAGTAAAATATCAATACCATAGTGCTTACCCTAGCGATCCTGTTGGAGATTCTGTTGTTATTTTGGATTTACTATTAATTCAAACTGCCTCATAAACTCTTGACCAAAAAAAAAAACTGAAACAAAACTAAATGGGTCAGGAATGAATTGGGCTGGACTTACCCCACTATCTAGTCAATGGCCCATGGAGGGCTGTTAGTACGGCCCAAAGCCTGCCCATCAAGTTAATCATTCATCATTAGGTTTATTTTAATTTTAATTGTTTTAAATTCTGTCAGACCAATAGATCGGGCCACAGTCTAGCCATTGGCCTAGCTAGTGGATAATATATGGGCCAATTTTCAGGGCCTACCAGGTTAAAATGGCCTTATCCCTTTGCCGATCAAGCTGTGACCGGCAATCAAGTAGCAGGCCAGACTATTTTGTGGCCTGATAGATATCATGCTAATAGATCAGCCCACAAGCTGTGGACTTCTTGCACCCCCTTTGCTACAATTATTGCAATGATAAGCAGCCATGAGCTTAGTGACGCAACGGGTTTAAGTGAAACTCAAACTCAAACTCAAACTCTATTTTTTATTATTTAGGTTGAGATTTTAATACTTATGTTAGGCTCAATCAAAAACATTTCCTAATTGGAGCAACACAAAAAGTTGGGACTTCGGATTGTCGGGTTAAACTCAAACCCAACTTGAATTTTTAAAATCAAGTTCAACTTTAAATTTGGAAAAATTACAAACAAACATACATACATATATATATATATATATATATATATATACATATTAGGGCATTTGCTAATGTTTTAAGCCTATTGTAAATGTAAATTTTTTTTTTAATTAGTTTTGATTAATAGAAGTTATAAAATATAAGTTAAATTCTGGATACAAAATTAAAATCTATTTTGAGTTTTGTTTGACAAAAAACTCGATTTTAACTCGAGTTTAACTCAAATTACGATCTAAATTATGTAATACGGGATTAACACGTTATATAATCTGAGATTCCCCCAAATTCCATCATGCGTTAAACCCGAGTTGGAGTTGCTAGTGTTGAACTTGGATAGAGAGCTTTGATTGATCCCCTATCCTATCCAAGTTGGACACCTAGTTAGGATGAGCCCCTAAAACAGGGGGTATAACTGTCCAAAATGCTAACCCTAAAGGAGCCAGGACCTCATTTCTTCTCTATATATCTGTAGCAAACCAATTGCTTCCGAGCCACTAGTAGCAGTCGCAATACTCTCTGTTATGATGGACACATAGTAGTGCTGAAGAGCTTCTGCTGATTGCATGATTGTTTGTAAAAACCTTTAAAGTTTTCAGTGTTTTTTTTCCTTTTTTTTTATATTGCCTCTTCTTTCGGCTGCAAGGTTATAGATCTGATGATCGATTTCTTGATGGCTTTGTTCTGGAGGCATATATAAAACCTCATCCAAAGACTTGGGGATCTTGTTACCCAGATTTTTGGTGTTCTTCCTTTTCTGGGTCCCCTTTGTTTGGTACATTTTTTTTTGTATTCTGGTTTTCTGTAAATTTATCTACTTAGCCACCATAATTTCATTATATTTTGGATCTGCGAGATGATAAGAATTGTTGGTCACAAGGGTGGAGAAATTGATATTAGATTCAAATAAACAAAAGACAGTTCGATAATTCAAATGGATAAATTTATTGGTATATAAAATGCTAATATATCTCTACAGTGACTGATGAGAATCGATAACAATGTGATTTGTGCTAAGGATTTGGAGAGTAAAAGAACGCTAGTGTGAGAAGATTCTAAGTAATGAATAAAGGGTAGGTAGGGTTTGTCATTGAATTGCAAGTTTGAGCTTGTAAATTCGTTGATTCTTGTGAAGCTATATATCTCTGATTGTTCTGGATTTGGTGTTATTGCAAGTGGTCCGGCTCCTACGCTCTTAAAAATTAACGGCGGAGATGTTAAATAGAACGACGTCGATGGTTTTGATTGACAGCACCTCCTATGATTGCAGAAGATTTTCAGCCTATTATTGCAAGTTGAAACAAATTTTTAATCTGGTATAAACAAAATTTAGTGAAAATGAGGATACTTGTATCCTAGATTGATGTACAGAGTAGAGTGGGTTCGGCAGGCGGTATGAGTCTAGTCGTAGATGTTGACAAAACTCATAATACTCTAAGATTCTTGTTTTTATGATTAGACTTATTGTTATATCATATATGTGGCTCACAGTGTAACCTAAGATGAGGAAGCAAGGCTATAGCTATATAGCTATACTAAACATAAAATTTGAGAAGTCAATAAATAGATTTTATTATATATTAAATAACAATTTTTTTCTCCATATGTTTGGGGTTAAAAAAAAATTTAGAATCAATTAAGAAAAATTTAGAGTCTCTAATTTTAATGCAATTTTAGGTACAAAGTGCGAATTCAATGAGATATTTTTATAAAAATAACGATCTTAGGTTTAACTTTAATAGATATGGGTGATAAATAAATAAACTTGTTAAATTTATCAAATAAACACTTAATTTTTTTTACAACATACATCAAACACAAAAAAAATAAAAATAAAAACAAAATAGGTTGGAATATCTTACCATATAAAATCCTACTAACCTTGAAAAATTATTTTGCTATATTAACAAATTTTAATTCTTTTTTTCTATATTTTTAACTGATAGCAGACTTTATTATATTTAAGTATAAAAATTCAACTTGAATTAATAGAATTATATACCAAAAATTGAATACAAAAACTGAATTTATATTTGCATCTCAAAAATTAAAATTTTTTTAAAAATAAATAATATTAATATTTGAATAATAATTTTGTTACGGGGTCTCATCTAATATTTTGGCATATGCCTTGAATTTGGGTTGCCGCCCTTGACTTTAAATTGTTGATTTATGTTCCTATCAAAAAAAATTATTGGTTTATCTTATCTACATAGAAAAAATGAAAATTTAAATTGAAAGAAAAATTCAAATGTGATTTTTTGAGCTATCGTTTTAAAGGTGTATTATGTTATTATTTATTATTTATTGGTGTTGGAGTATTTGCCTCTTCTTTGGGCTTTATGTAGATATTTTGATATAATGCTAAGGTGTGTGTGAATATTACTGCTGGTGGAAGGACTGAATAGAAAGTCCTGATGAGTTTTGTAATTCTTTCCTCATACTTCTCCTTTACTTTTTGATTCAGAAGTTGATTTCTAACCGACGTTCCATATGTATGAGAAATTGGCACCAAAAATCTGTTTTGATTTTGTTCAAACAAGTCATTTTGCTAAGTTTTCCTCTCGTTCTTTTTGTATAGAAAGATAAAAAAGTATGGCAGTTTCGTTGGAAGCTTTGGCAATGGCAGGTGCAGATTACAAAGATTTCAACATCACCATCGAGGAAAATGATCAAAAATACATGTTGCAAGCACCACCCTATTTGCTAGCAGAACCGAAAAAGAAAAAACGCAGGAACACATGCCCTATAACTCTCTGCTTATCAAACCAAAGGACAGTTTGTGATGTTCATGATGACAATTTCTCACCCGATGATAAATGAAGAAAATGGGCATCACAATGGAACGTTGTTCGGGAATGGCTTCAGAAGGTGCTAAGGAGAAGACAACCAAGAAAGTGTGCAGGTTGATGAGGACTTTGATAAAGAGAATAGCAAGAACATTCACTGAGATGTCAAACAAAGCAACAAGAAAGAGAAGAAATCGAGTCTACACAAGTTATTTTAGCAACAACCGTTGTGCCACTGCATATAGATGTACTTTTTTTTCCATCCTCTTGCAAAACTTTCCAGATTTAATTTTTGGGCTTTAGTTAGTTCTCTTTGTTTTTCCTATTTTTTCCTCCTTAATTCGTTTGCTTTGTTGGATATAACCCATTTATAACCTCCAAAATAAGCGACAAATAGTCTTATCAACGTTTGGAAAAGAGTTTTTTAGATTCGAAGCTGATCACTTGTTATCAGTTCATATTTGACCTGTCACAAATATGTTAGACATTGTAACATTAGAAATCGAAATCACAGATGAAAAATCCAAATTTTATTGTGTGATTGATAACCATTATAATCACATATTCTTTGGACTCGTGTTTATGACCAAGGTGAAAAGAAAGCTGAAGCTGTACCTTAAAAGAATTCACATCACAGTCGCAATAGTGAATGGTATCATTATAATTTGAACACAGATAATCTTGGGAAAGCAAGGAATACGGATGAAATACAAGCCAAATGTCCCTAACCCTATATTCATATGAATAACACAATAATTTCCACATGAAAGCACCACCTCTTCATCATGAAGCCCACAGTCTCGACGAATTCTGATGTCTTCTACGCCAACAGACACTGCAAAAACCATGTTGTATGTCATACTCATAACAAGTAGCAAGGAGGAAGCCAAAACAATGTTGAAAAGAATCCTCAGCATCCTATATTTGAAGACAACAATATAATATCATCGCATCAAGCCACAAAATTTTCTGAGAAGGTATTCGTTATGTTATATTCTAGAGAGAAAAAAAAACACCGGTTATCATAATCTAATTTGGGCCGATACCTCTACCAAGACACCACCATCAGACATCCCATGCATTACATAATTCTCACTGTATACATATGAATTACCGGTGGAAATCCCGCGCATTAAATATTTTGTCAATGCAAATACATCAGTACTGCAGTCAAATCTTACCTCCCTTCAAGGCTCATCACCCTTGGATTGTTCCCCTGCCAAACAAAAACATAACTTAGTTGGAATGAAAATTAAGCTAAAAAATTCCTTTGCATGGCTAGCTCAGGTAGTAAAGAATTCATTTACGTTTTTTCCAGGGTGACATTGGGGTTGTGTCTATTGCTGTTGTCCCATTATTCCAACCAGGTTCACAGTTAACAACCATCCACGTATTTGTTTTTGCTTGTGTCTCTTAGTTATATTGTGGAATGCACAACATAAGGCAGGGTGTGTGGCATGGATATCTTCTTTTAAAATGGGACCCTATTATAATGATCTTATAGCCAGACCAACCTACTGCAGCCCTAGACTTATCTCTTTAAACCTTTGTCTGAGTAACGAAACCATAGCATAAGGAATCAAAAGTAGACAAACAGAATTCGAAGCCCACAAAAAGATCAAATGTGAGTCAGAGCATTTACCTCCCTCTTCTGGAAGGTCTGAGGTCCACAGCGTGAGATTATCCCTAAGAAGCTGCATAATGAGAGTGCTATCTTTGTACGATTCTTCGTTAAGGCTGTCAAGTTCTGCAATAGCCTCATCAAATGCATGCTTAGCCAGGTGGCAAGCCCTACGAAACACAGACAATTTGTAAATAGAAGATTAATAGGCAACAATACAATGAACACAAAATCAGCAATAATATAACCAAATAAGGAGAAGGAAGAGAAAAACACAAACAGCTATGCATTTCAATTAATAATCCTGTTGGAGGAAAAATTTTACATAAGAGAAAGGAAGAGAGATGTCAACCTTTCAGGAGAGTTCAATATCTCGTAGTAAAAGACAGAGAAGTTCAAAGCCAACCCAAGTCTAATTGGATGAGTAGGGGGCAGATCTGAGGAAGCAGTGTTAGTGGCAGCCTGCATTAAAAATATTTAGTCCACAAACCCTCTAGCGGTGAATGTGACAATGCAGACAAGCGTGACAAATGAACTAATAAAAATTATCACAACAAAAAGAAAACATAGTATGTAATAAAATCATTGTTTAAAGAAAATAAGAACAAGAGATACCTCATAAGCCTTGAGTGACTGATCTGCCACCTCTTTACGATCATTTCCTGCTTTAAACTCAGCTAAATAACGGCAGTAGTCTCCCTTCCTGGAACAGTGGGAAGAAAAAGTAAGAAAACAAATTATGCCACCAACGAAGAGAAAAACTAGTGAGTCTTTGAAAGGGTTGGTACAAGCTAATTAATCAAAACCAGTAAATTCAACAAGGGATAATGTAAAATATAAGGAAGAAAAGAATTACATTAGAAAGGAAATGCATGCTTCCCTCATCTAATACAAGTGTGAAAAAAGATAACCAAACTTATAAGAGAAACTCGTGTACAGAAGTCATCCAGTCGATCAAAAAGCCCCACAACCACAAGTCATGCTATATACAGGCAAAACAAGCCTTTTCTCATTAGAATCTACACCAACATAGTCAACATCCAACTGCCGAAGTTTTAAATGTTTTGGGGTGGACAGTTAAAAACATTTCATCCAACTTAAAGCTGAATCTATAGCTAATTTGGGGAGACTTTAACTGCAGTCAGAGCTATCTCACCAGACATCCTATAATAAAACATTTTCCACTAGAACATCCCTCGATCACCAAAGCCAAGGGGAAAAAGGAACGAGAGTAAAGAAAAGAAATACTCTCACATCTTATGGTAGAAAACGGTTGATTCTCCTGTAGAGGAAGATGGGAGCAGGTGCTCATCAATTACTGACAATATGTCACTGCATATCTTTGCAAGCTCATCCTCAACCCTGTGTCTGTAATCCCTGATCCTTTTCACATTTTGGTCATGCCCCTTACTCTCCTCCTTTTGTTCAATAGATGACAAAATTCGCCACGATGCCCTTCTTGCCCCAATCACATTCTTATACCCAACTGACACCAGATTCCTCTCCTCCACGGTCAGTTCCACATCCAATTTTGCAACTTGCTTCATTGCTTCAACCATCTCTGGAGACAAAGTGGATGAAAGAAAACAAAAATGAATATGACATAATATAAAGCATGCTGGACAAATAAGGGGTAGTTCCTTCTAACTTCTGCATGTACTTGTATGTTTAATTCAGAAGTGTAATGAATGCAGTCTGCAACCAAAAATCATTAAAAACAGAAATACCAACAGAATATTTCAACTTAAAAGAAAAAGCTTTTACTTTCTATTAGCAGATACTTGTGTTAATATTTATCCTTTAAGCTCATCCCTCTAGTCTAGCAATTTGCATACAAAGACATGCATGCACTTAATTCAAAGGCACATTTATTACATTTTAACACAACTCAACAAAATCTTATCAATTATTTAGTATTGGCTACATGAATCATGGTATTCCATTGTGCTCTATCAAAGATCAGTTATTGAACCGCAAACTCTATTCTACAAATTCATTCGGAATTAATTTCGGTCTTTCACTTTCTCTGGCATTATCATTGTTAAATATCAAATCACCCTTCCTCACTTGTATAGTACTACGTCTGTAATCATATTCAATCCATCTAAGTCGATATAATTTATCTTCTCTTAACTTATGGTCTCAAAAATATATTCATCTATGATTTATAATTCTGGTTTTAACCTACATATATCATATCCTCATTTCATCCAAAGTTGGTTAAATTTGCTAATTTTTGACAGTGTTACAATGCAAGAAAAGGTGAAAAATCCACTAATAGAGGCAGAAACATATTTTGAAATGGAGACACAGATTGATCTAAAAGCAAGAGAGAAACCCTAAGAGAGAGAACTTAACAGAACTTGCGCTGGATCTAAGCGTCACGGGCAGTTGTGATTTGTAAGAATCATCTCTAAAAATATGCACAAAAAAAAAAAAAAAAAGGATTGACTGAAATTTGTATGTTCAATGTATAAAAAGTTGTTAAATGGTGATGTATAAGGCATGGGTCCAATATGTGAATAGATGAGAGGTGAGAGGTGAGAGGTGAGAGGTGAGAGGTGAGAGGTGAGAGGAATCAGGAGTCTTGTAAGACCTATGTTTTGCACAAAAGGACAACACCATGGTCGAAACCCTCCCCCTCCTCCTTCCTTTAGCCTTACAACAATTCGACAATATCTCAAAACCCATGTCCCACAAAACTGTTGCTCCACTTGATAAACCCGCTTGCTGAATCATGTCGTATTAAAATCTTGAACCAAGAGCTATGATGAGATATATCCACTTGTTTCAAAAGCTAAACGTATCCAGTGGAAATTATTCAAGCTGTTATTCAAGCCACAATAATATTATTCGGAACCATTATGTTTTAATTATGAAATCCTTTCATAAAATTTTTGGTGTGTTACAGAACTCAAGCTGAACGCGAAATGGGGATGAACTTATACTATTTTTAGAACATGGTGAACATTGGGATGAACTTTCATAAAGTTCAAACTATATAACAAAAAAATCTAAAATAAAAGCAAGAACAGAGTATACCGTTTACAGTGGGAAAATTAATCATCAAATCACAATTACTTATGCAAAATTCAGTCCTCACCTGGAACTATCCCTAAATCGAGATCCTGAGATATCACCCAAAAAATTCATTCATTATTTTAAAGATTTCATGTCAATTGGTAATTAGTACCATAAAATTAATTAATCAAGAAGAGCAAAGATCACATAAGAACGCAAGCGTTTGAAAATTTTCAACTACATAAACACATACACAAGCCTAATCAGTATAATCTAAACACAACCCAGTAGTCTTCTTCCCATTCTGCAACCATAGAAAATATACACACCATAGAACAGTGCCAATAAACCCCAGAAAATTAACAAATAAATAAGGAAAAAAAACAAGGACTATACACTTGAGTAAATCTATACCTATACATCATTTTATTTTCGGTGAAAAAATAATTGTAATATTTAAAGCAATACCATCATATCTCTCAGCTTGCTCTGCGAGTCTAGCCAAGTAAACTTGTTGTTGTCTTTCCTCCATAGCTGCCCCCCTCTCTCTCTATCTCTCTCTCTCAAACGACTAGTTCTTTTTCTCTCCCTCACTCGATCTCTATAAAGACTTGTTCGTTTTTGTTGCGACTTCGGTAACTGCTTTTTCAAGAGGCAGAGAGTTCTAAAAAATATCCATTATAAAACTGAAGTGATATTATTAATTAATAATATTAAAATAAATAAATAAATAAATTTTATAAAAAATAATAACGAACACTTTAAATAAGTAAATAATTACTCACACTTTTTTTTATATAAAATAATAATTATTCAAGTACATCTTATTTATTTAATATTTTATTATTAATTAATAATATCACATCAATATCACTTAAGGATAATATCACCGAAATATTTTCTCAGTGAGTGCAGAGCACTTTTGGAATCGGCCGTTGGATTTGGAGTCAAAACAATTTTTTGGGTACGATAGACGGTTAAGAATCTGTCTTGAATTGTGTGAATTGTTAAAACCCTTGGGGTGGGAATGATGAAATCTGGACCGCACGTTCTGGAGGTTGGGAAGAGAGTGGCCACAGGATTGTTGTGGGGAGAGGAGAGGATGAGGTTAACTAGGTTGGGTCTGTCGGCCACATGGACTGACATTGACTACAATCATAACCGATGACCACTGTCATATCGTTTGGTCCGGTTTCCCACATGCAGTTCGTCAAATTCGTTTAATTTGGCAAAAAATTTAGTAACTGCTACCATTATTATAAATCTCTTATTTTGTTGCATATATTTGAATTTTTCAATCCTTCATTTCAGCGAAATTAGAAGGTTCGGGTTTTTCTTAAACCACTCATTTTATAAACGAGTGGATATGACAATACTATACGATTAATAAATAAATCGGTATGAGTAAAGTCAATAAAAAAAATACATGACACGATTCGTTAATATATCAATTATATATAATTCATACACGACACATGAATTTGATATAACATGACTCGTTACATATAAATTAATAAATGTTTCAAATATAGGAGGAGCATTTTCTGACACGAAACTTCTAAGATTCGACACGATTGACAAATCTACTTCGCCTTAAGAAATGATGATGTTCTTAAAATAATTGAATAGCTATGTGAATATAAATTGCACTGAACAGTTGAATTTGGTTCAGTCTGAGCTCCAAGGCTCTTGGGAGCAAGATTTGAGAATAAGTGGGTGATCACACAAAGTGTTTATAATAATTTACCAACTTAGGAGTTCGACTAATTCACTCTCAAATGAGTCTCTTGCTCATAAATGTATTGATTACTTGTGAAGTTTACAGATAATGTTTTGGTGAGGCTACAATAGTTTGTTGTCATTTTCGAGAATTTTGCCTACTATTTATAATTATCTCTGGGTCTTGCTTTATCTGAGGTGAAATCCTTGCTCTTCCTCTGTAACGGTTGCTTTTATTGTGCAACAATCGTAGTGAATGTTGGGACAGTTACGAAACTTGCGTCTGCTGAGTAATTGTTATTACGAAGGGAGTACTTGATAGGTCTGCTGAGTAATTGTTGTTATGAAGGGAGTATTTGGCAGGATCTAACTGTCCCTTGCACAGCCTTCCTCTCAAGAGGTAGACACATGGAGTTGAGGTCCGAAGTTGAGGTCTTCAAATTACGTAGATGTCCTGACCTAAGTGGCATGACCTGCATTACCTAACTCAACTTTAGACATTTTCTTGGTATCATCAAGAAATAAAGTTTATTGAGAGAGGAGTTTGGTGTCCACATATAAAATATTAATAAATACCTTATATTTTTTTTCCATTTTTAGCTCTTCATAAATTATGATCTGTCGTAAATCGCTATCAACTTCACTCAACAGCATACATAATTTATCTTATAGTTATCTCCCTTACCTTCTTCCAATTTCACTTCTTTCCAACCAATTATATTGATGGTCATGCGTAGGACTTACTAATTTCTTTTAAAAGTAGGCTCATCTTGCTTTTATTAAGTCAACAATATTATTTTAGTCATGTGGTGAGAATATTTGTTGCTATTTTGTAAGAAAATATGAAAATCTATAAATCGTAAGATAATAGACTATTTACATAAGCATGACATTGACAACCCAGAAGAGGTAGGAATTTGAGGAAATCGAAAATAAATACCTCCTGTTAGACTGAAGACCATGATAATCATGTTTTTTCACACTCGATCGTGGTTAGAATAAAAGAATTAAAGGTGATGTTATCTTATTTTTTGGTCAGAAAAGGTGATGTTATCATGTACTTATTTTTATACAAATGGGTTACTCTGTCTCTGAGAGTTGATTGAAGGGGTGTGAATACCTGAGATTAATTTTCTGAATTCAAAAACAACAATAACAACCAGCGGTTTTTGTCAACGTTGTCTTGATTCAAGAAAGATATTTAAAAATAGAAAACCTATCAATTTTAAGTTTAGTAGGGCATGACAAAAACATCACCGTCACAAGGTTTAATGGACAACCTTGTTTATTCCCCCCCCCCCCCCCCCCCCTCCCCCCCATTCTTTTGCTTCTGAATGTGTTTTGATAAGTCCGAATTTTACTAGGTCAAACTCAATAAAAATAAATCAAAAAAGTTTAAAGAAAAGCTCAAATTAAAATTGAGTCAATCCATCAAAAAGAGTCTCAATTATCAAAGCCCAAAAGGAATTGGACCTGCTCACAAGTTAAGAAAAAGTCAAGTGAAGTCCAAGGCAAAGGCCAACGCCCATGGCTTGCCTCCCCATCCCTCTCCTCCACTCCAATACAAGTCCAAGTCCAAGTTCAAAATCAAGATCAGCCCAGGTCAAGATCATCCTCCGACGGAATAGGGACACAAGCGAGAGAATATCGGGATGCGGATATCCATTCCTATTAAGGTTATACTTACCAAAATAGTGGAAGACTCATTCCTCACGTCACCGCCTTGGTATGCCTATATAATATAAGTCCTCTACATGTAGAGGACATGCTCTCATAGTCTTGAAATCCCAACACACATTACATCATCCCAAACCCATTACTCTTTCTCTCTCCTTATAAGCATTGTAATACTACTGAAGAATACTCACTTCGGTGACTTCACTCATTAATAGAAGATCCAGCTTACCGCTGTCGTTCTTGAAAGTGGAGTAGGTCACCTGGACCGAACCATTATAATTTTTTGTGTTGGCTCCTTATTTACAGCTTTATTATTGATTGTTTTATTTATTGCTCATTAATTCTATCCGTTCATACACTTGATTGTTGATTTTACACAAAAATCAATTTGTACATCATCATGTTTGTTGAAATTAGGAATAATGGTGTTTTCACTGACAATAATATTATTTAGATTTAATTTATTGATCCAATTAGTCAATACTATTAAATTGTTTGTGGGTCCTAACAAATATTAGAGCACATTGTCAATTCAATAGTTATGAACGATTTAAGTCAATAAATTATGTTAGATTCAAATAGCATTGTTTTCTCATTAATTTCGATCAAGTCAACTTTGATTTATTTCGCTTAATTAATAGGGTGAATTACATTCAGTCCCTTGATTTTGGTAGACATTGTCCTGGACCCAGTATGACTAATTGGTGGGACCGGCAGAGAGGTCTACGAGGGGCATCATCAACCACAGCCGTGACTAAAGGTACCCTATCCCCTTCCACAATCACGCAGAAAAAGCCGCTGATGGTCCCAACAATCATCTCCTTTACTCTTTCTCTAAGCTCTAAGCAAATGGAAAATCATGGTCCCAACAATCACCTCTAGCTCCAACCGATGGAATGTCATTATGTATATGGGTATCATTTCCACAGGTGGAGCTAACAATGAATTATGTCGGGTTAAGTCAAGTTCGTGTCATTTTTTTTTTTCAGAACAAGAGGTTCATGTCCTGTTAATAATATTTACGTAATTCATACTCAACTCAGATGTCTATTGTCTATCTGCAATTATATAGCTTCTATTTTCAGGTGGACAAAATCCAAGGCTCTGGATATAATTTATAAGCTTGTGTTATATTTACATTTTCTCTGTAAAATTATCATCCTGTCTTGCATTTAAATGGCAGATTGAGTTCAATATTCATCGACATGTTTTGGGAAGTCATCTCCATCCCTCCGGTCAACGGCAGTAGAACTTCCGAGAGGCAACAAGGCACTACGGAGATACCAAAACAATGAAACAGACTATTTCTAAAAAGTCTAGCATACTACCAACAGGGCAACAGCAATGACATATGATGAATTTCCATATTAGAAATGGTTCAATAAAAGTTTAATAGATAATGATAGAAAATTATGGAATATTATTTAAAAGCAAGCCCGTACATAGACAGCAGGTAGGAAATGACAAAACAAGGATAGAAATTCAGAAGTAGAGGCTGTTAGTTGGAAGGTATATACAAATTAAAGGCATTTCTATTTCCTCAATCATGAGAACAAGCTCTAGTCTAAATTACATGAAAATGAAGCAGGTAGCTTCAGCATTAAGATATGAACTTCTTTTCCGCTTTCTCAGCCCATGTTGAACCCCAAACAATACCTTATTCAGGTTGTTATGATAATTCGAAAAGAACTTCCTCACCAACTAAAAGGGTACTGCAGCAAACCCTTTTGGGTTAGACATATATAGCTGTTGTCAATGGGTACAAGGTCGGTGATGAGGTTCAGCCTATGGAACAACAGGGCTGGTGCTCGCATCCCCAAATGAAACTGAAGCTAAAGACTTGGAAGCCCATGCCTTTGCGTTCTTGGCCCCTTCCTGTAAATTGCTTCTCTTGCAAGGCTCCTTTAGGGAATTGAATAGCTGTATTGCTCGATTCAGGTAGGCCTGAGGATGCTCCCACAAGCTCCTCAAGCTTACATACACACTGTACCTTCTCCAAGCAAATTGAGTAAATATATGAAGCGAAGGGAAAATGAAATAAAACAGCCTCAGCAATACAAATATGGTTGCCAAGATCAAATATGTCTCCTGCCGAAGTAAATTCTCGGGAGATCTAGCCCACGAGAATGGACAGGTTTCCTGCTCACTATCATCATGTTTATCATGATCCGATGAATGTCCAATTTGATCAAGGGATGTTCCATCCACCGATGCCGTGTCAATACCTATACCCCAAATAAACCATTTATCAATAAAAATCCCTAGATAAAATAACTATTTTAAGCTCATTGAAAACAAATATCATATATACTACAAAAAAGAATGGAGGACTGATGCAGCTCCTCTCTCTACTCTCTGTCTTGCATGTGCTGCCATAGGAACTTCACATATGAGGAAAAACTTCATATATGGTTTCGTGAGTTATTTTTTCTGTTCTTTTTTGATGATGCACAAAAATGGTTTTGCACACCACCTGTCAAGTGTAGATAATAAATGCAGTGAAATCAATGAAAGAATTAAAGAAGACACAATTTATAGTGGTTCGATCAATTCGACCTACGTTCACTCTTCAATGACTTCAGTTGCCGGGTATTTTATTAATTCAGAAGTATGGAGAATAGAGATACAAGCTTTGAGAGAATGGAGAATCAAAGAAAGTGGTCTCCGGTCGTCGATCTGTCCTCTGTAAGTGTTGGTGGGGCGTGACCTTCATCTTCTTCTCCTCACAGATTGGGCCTACTTTATAGCAGCTAAGAGATCATTCTAGTGGAGATCATGACTTATCCTCAAGGCTACTTTATCGCAGCTAAAAGATCATTCTTGAGGAGATCATGACTTATCCTCAAGGGAAGGAGGAGGTTGGGGAGCTCTTCATAAAACGTGGTCAAAGCTTGGACCGTTTCCTTCGGTGGTGCAGATAAGCTTCTCATGCTTTCCTCTTGATGACGTGCTAAGCAAAAAGTCTAACCGGTTTTGGATGGTCTTGGGCTTGGTAGATTCAAAATGAGGTTGGGCTCCTCAACTGGAATTAGACTTTAACACATAAATTGGACTATTTGGGCTTAACCCATCATTTTTTATAGTTTTTTTCTTTTGTGGGGGAAGGGGGTGGCAGATATAAATAATTTCATATATGAGGAAGAATATATTTTTTTGATAGGAATAAATGGGGAAGAATTTTAAACAGGCGAAATACAATCATCACTAACCAGAACTGTGATACATAGATCCAATGATTTTTAAGTGACAAGAATCAAGATAACATATGCAAACCATGTCTAAAAGCATCAAATATCAATATCCTGATTGTGCTGGAGGCCACAAACAAACAAACATTTCCTACTCAAATAATAAAGAAATTCCCTTCAGCAAGAAATCAAACCATTCTTGTATTAACTTAGCATTCAGAATTTATGAAAGGCAAAAAACAAATGACGGAAATTAAGAGAAAGAGATTAAAAACTGGTACCAAGATTTATATGATTAAAAATAAATAGAAGCCCATAGTTCTAGGAAAGAGGCCTTACCAGTAACATCACCATAGAACGCGATGAGAGAGCCAAGGCTTCGGGAGCCATGGTAGCGCACACGCATAGTAGAATTTAAAAGGAAAAGTGTAGGAAACCCATGGACTCCGTATTTTGATAGAATGCTGAAAATAGTTTATCAATGTTATTCCCAAGTGTCGACACGTTATTCACAAAACAAAGATATTGGTGTGTATACCTCGGTCTTATGACTGATTCTTCAACTGTCAAATGGGGGATGGAAGGATACAAGGAAGACATGATGGAGAAGCTTGGTTTGAAAGTCCCAGAGAATGGGCACCAAGACGCATAGAAGAGCACAGCAACATTGTCATGAGTACTCTTGTGAACCATATTCAATGCCCTCTGCAGTGAGGCCTCATCTCCCTTGAAAACAAGAATAATTAAATACCATTAAAATTTTGCAGAGCATGTGAAATGAGGAAATTCAACTTCCCAATGCAACAATTATGCCTGTGAATCATCTATCATAAATGGAAACCCTGTCAACATCAACCATCTTAAGAATTTAGACAAGGAAAACAAAAGGTGAGGAGGGGCTTAGCAACATCTAGTCTGCTGCCACTTGCATCATGAGATAATCATGGAGCCGTTTACATCAACCTAAAAATGATTAGCCAAAACAGAAATCAATTTATATTCCACTTTTCCGTGTTATTTATTTAACTAGCAACTATGGCTGAACTGAGACTCTTGAAAAATGATTATGAAAAATCAAACAAATTTGAATACAACCACTGGAGTTTCTGCAACTGCAAAGGCGTTCCAGACAAAGTGACAAACCTTTCAACTCCAGGGGATCAGAGGTAATTATATATGAACGCGTAAAAAGATTATTTGGAAAAATCATGAGTTTAAGGGATCCGAATCTGGTGGTCAAGCATGGCCTCTAAAATCATATGACAATTGGCTTTTTTAGCATCATCTGTCCTAGAATTGCAGCATTCGTGCTAATATCACATCTTTAACAATTGAGTCACAGCACATGAATGTGTGGAGGCAGCTCATTTTCTCCATGAAGTAGAAACAGAAAAGAAATTTCCAGCGGAAGCAAGCAAGTGATTTCTGAGCTGAAAATTGAAGTTAAGCAAAGGTAAGGAGAGATGCAGAGCAGGAAGAAGGGATGCTTGATCTTTCTTGTCTCCAATAGGCATTCTCCTCACTGCACCGTCGAAGCTAAAAAAACTTTATTAGCTTGATGATCAACAATAGAAGGATTGCTGCTAGAAGAGAAACATACTCTTCCCTACTCCCATTCCCTGCTCTCAAGCTTGCTCATGGACTCTCCCTCCCAACATTGCAATTAGTTACTGATGACAAATGTACAAGTTTCACTACAGGTAAGACAACTATAAATTGGCCCAAATCTACAATAAGAATCAAACAAACAAAGCATACCAAATCTTATAGCCACGAAAGAATCGTAGGGTTAACTTTGGGCTAAAGAAAGCATGTTCTTGATCAGAAAGGTAAGGCTAAAAACACATACAATCAGAACACATTATTTGATCAGAAAAATGAATGTTTTGCATATAGTTCAGTAACCAATGGTCCTCTCATGCATCCTTACACTTATATAATCAATTATATTGGTAGTTTCCTATCAGGAAATTAAAAAAACAAGAGTCTCAAATTTTAACACTGAACGACTAAGGAAATTATGTTTTGGTCATTAAATCATCTGATTGAGTCCAGTTTTAAAAATAATGGTTAAAAATTACTCTTTTTTCTTTTAGACCTTGTCAAAATACTTTGAAAAAACAAGCAAGCAAGCAGAAATAACACCCAACCAAGGTTTCTGTGGTTCCAAAATTTGTACAAGAAAGCAGGGACAAGTTGTGGGAGCTGATAGATCGCAGTATCAAGCTCAGTGAAGGTTAGGACGTTATCAACGCCTGTGCAGCAACAAAATGCTGGAATCCCACTTAACAGATGCGATTCAAGTGAGTCTTAGGTAGTCCAACTGGCTTCCTATGAAGCTTCTATTTGCATGATGGTTCCTTATTTGGAGCATGGTTTCTCATTTCAGGAGGGCATCCGATAGTTAGGATGATGCAAAAAGGGATAAAATAATAAACAAAGCATTGATAAGAAGAGATTATCACATAAAGTCATATCAACTATGGCTGGCGTACAATTCCCAAATTTGGAAATTTTTTTTGTCAAGTCTCAATCCCAATGTGCAACAACTATGCAAACCCAACACGAGTTTGTGCAATGAAAAAGAATTAACATCGTATGCCTATGAAATTTGAGTTCCCCATTCATGACTTTGGCCCCTAACTGATTAATACCTTTCATTTTATGAAATTGATGCGGAGTATGCAATTAACTTAAATGAAAGTCAATGGAACTGCAAAATGAAAAATTAATAATGTTAGGAAATTGATTTTGTAATTAGTTAATTTCATGAGATCACATGTAAATATCTCAACTAAATCCATGATCATGATGCTATGAAGTTGAAGACTGAAACAAAGAAGGAAGATGAAGTCTCCAAAGCTACAAAGTAACATTTGAAGACGTCCCAGAATGGTTCAAAACTTAAGGAAAGAAAGATATATGATCTAGATACCTAGTTATCTTGTTGTTTTTACTTTGGTTCACTCAAATTAATAAGAATTTGATTTAGGATGTGCTCCATAAAAGACTCTTGTTCTTTTTTATTGAAAAAGCTTTTTAAAATACAAAGTTTGTTCTGAAAAAAACTAAATGAGTCATATAGTAGGATATTGTTGAGCAATGCCCCTTAGTGCTTAATAGAGCAAGATTTTGCTGAATTTTAGGCTTAATAATCAATAGGGACCGCTGGAAGCTCGCTGACGTCTGACTCAAGCAGTCTCTAAACACTAAGAGAAATCTGGATGAAAGAAAAAACAGGACAGTGGTCACAGCTATCCAGGCCACTCAACTGGAGGCCTGAAATTGTTTGTCTTGTCATTCCAGTAGCCACCGCCCAACGACCGCTGGCAAACACCACGCAAATTTGAGTTTTTTTGTCCCAATTAAACTCTATTTTCAAAACCCATACATAAAGGACTGTCTTTTCTCACTAGAGTAAGCCTCTACAAGATGAAAATGGTCTTGTACACTATCTTTTGGGGGCTTTTCTGATGTCTTTAGGGTCTCTCCTCCAGTCTTTCCTTTCCTGCTGTATTTTGCAATGGTTATGTGAACTCGCAAAAACTTAAGTATCACTCACAGTTGAGTTATCACAGAGTTTATAGAGAGCCAAAACAAAACCTAGTCTCCTTAACATCCAAAGACTACAAATTGACCAAGATCATCTTGTGCTTTGACCTTCAATCTTGAAGGCTTAGAGAGATCTAGTAGAAACCAAAAAAACCATAGCGGAGACAGATATCTAAGAAGGATTCCAAGAGATCAATGACAATTCTAAGGACAAATCGTGGAGCTTGGTTCGTCGCCTAGAAAGGCTATTGCTCAAGAACTTGTGGTGGACTCCATAGCGAAGATTCAAGGGAAAGAGCATCAAACCATTGTAATTGAATGGCGTATGTGTCTTCAAACTTGAGATTTAACTTTGTTTATAGTGGTATAGTCCTGTGGTTTTCTCGCAAGGGTTTCCATAAAAAAATTACTTTTATGTTACGGTTGTGCTTCTCTCTGCCTACTCTTTAGATACTTACAAGTTTTACATCCTATAGGTGTTCGATGATATGATTGATTAAATAATTCTTAGAATTTAAGACTCCTTGTAGTTGTTGAATTGGTGGAAGCGTTTTGGAGGGACAAAGTGTTGATTATGCATGATCTTGATTGTTTTTTTTTTTTTTTGAACCAGATCTTGAATAATTGAATTTGGGCATTTGCATATGTTCATCCTTCAAAGGGTTTGTTAAATCAAATTGTGGGGTTTTGCACATTAATTGATAACCGAGTGAATTAAGTTTTAATTGAGTATTAATTTTCGATGTGAGTCCTTAAGACCTATCATGTTGGGGCAATCCAACTCGCAATCTCAATTGAGATACCCATCACAATTTTTGCAAGTTAATTGTAGGTTGTATAGGTATGACCAAGGGATTTTGGCTTCTTATACCTCTTATGTTCAAGGTTCCATCCACATCATTTGTTTAGCAATGCACATTATAACTCGGCAAAATGTTCTTTTATTCATTATGCATAGAAATATGACTTACCATGATTATATTCATACTTCCCGCAACCTGTATCAGTGTGGATCTCTTTGCACAGGGTTGGGAAAGACTTAAGCGTCTCAAGTAACAAGTGGATATAACAAACACGTTTTGATCCACAACAAGGGTGGATAATACTCGCTTTGCAAGTTTGACACTAAATGAAGTTGGGCAAGGAAGGAACAAAAAGAACTTTTAGGAGCTATTATATGGCTTGTTTTTAACAAGAAAGATTGGTAAGAGTGTGGCCATTTATGCTTTGGAAAAGGATTACGGTTTAGGGCCTCAATTACGCAAAGAAAGAGATAGTGTGGTGGCTAAGAAAAATTCCAATTTTCCCCAAGTAAGTTTCCTCAAACTACGGAAAAACACTCCAGCCCACCAACAAACCCTCTGACTCCATTCTAAACCTAATGTACCAGGTCAGATAACTACCAAATAATACATCAAATTTTTCACATTTCTTCAAAAAGAAAGAGCAATAAAAGTGATCAGTAATTCCATACGTTCTAGAGTAGAAGAAATGCTAACCCCTTACGTATAAATTCACTACCCAAATCAATATGGCTCTTAAATATTCACAAACTTATAGTTCCCAAGTCTCCAGGTCATATTATTCTCACATGTTCTCCCCAAAGAAGAACATGAATTCCACCCAATCCAAAGTCATAGAAAAAACTAAAAATAAAAGAGAATCTATTTAACCTTATTCATCACATATAAACTAAATTCATAACAAATAAAAAATATTATCCAACAAAAATAATTGCAGACGTTCATATGTGGGTATGTTGACAGATAAATTTACACGTTCGAATGAGCGTGGAGCTGAGCTTTACATACCTCAATAACACCGACGACATCGAAAGGTTCCAACCCATTCAAGGGACATATTGAATCTGAAAACCCAAAGATCGAGTCTTTAACGGAGTGCGAAGGGCAAACGGAAGGTAACGGAACCCTAACGGGTTCTGCACACGTTAGCCTCCCAACAACCACCACCAACAGGACCAACCCTGCTCCCCATACCCTCATTCTCCCCATGACGAGGACGATGGTCTGATATAGAGATGCAATTAGGATCCACTGAGAAACCCTAAATCAGAGGAGAGAGGGAACAAGGAGGAAGTGGAGGGGGGAAAAGCCCAGCGCATGTTAGCGTAGAGGCTCACAAGGGAGATAATAAAAAAACTGATCTGATAATAATAATAAGATTCTGCTGGTATTTTCACAATTTATTTCTATTTTTATTTTTTACTAAGATAATTAAACCTACTTATTTCATCTTTAAATATGATATAAACATTATCCTACTATTAATTAATTTATTTTTTCTCACTATTATAGTTAAGATTTTAGGTCATAAACTTGGATTTTTTTCGATACATCTTTTAAAATTATAAAAATTTTAGGAAATGGAGCTCTAATTTATTTATTTTTTATAAATGGATAATTTTTTGGAAAAACATATTTTCTAATGTAAAGAGCACTGAAGATCTCGAAATCATCAATGGTTTAAACTTGCAGATTTTTTTAAATCAATCTCACGTTTCATTGGCTTTGTCTGGCTGAAAACTTTCCACATCGAATTACTACAAGAGGAGGAGATGGATAAGCAACCTTAGAACATATTTCCCAAGATCTATAATCGAGCCAAACTACTCGAACTTATTATTTACTCAACTTGCTTTTGATTCGGTTCGTTTTAAATTCAGCTCAATTACATAATAAATTGAATTTAAATAATTTTTAAATTTATTTATATATAAAATAGTTAAACTATTCAAACTTACCTTATTTCAGATTCGGTTCGTTAAGGGCTCGACTCATTTAAAATACAAACTGAACTTAAACAATTTTTTTAACTCATTTATATGTAAAATAATTGTGTTATTTGAGTTCATCTTCTAAAATTAAATAATTTCTTAAACTCGTTTATATGTAAAATAATTGAGTTATTTGAGTTTGGCTTAAAGTCAACTCGTTTTAGGCTTTGTTTGTTTTTATAAACGAGTTAAATTTAAATAATTTTATAAACTTATTTTAAAAAATAAATTCAACAAACTCTATTCAAACTCACAAAATTCATTTCAATTATCAAACATTCTCGGGCGGTGTTATTGAGAGATCATGAAGGCCCACGGCTTCGGTTGGTGGCAGAGACAAGTCATAATTTGTTGCAGTAGGGACTCTCTGCATTCGCGCGGCCTCTAATGACTATTAACGGGCTCAATTCAAGGCCCACACACTATTCTTGGGCTCTGGCGATGTATGACCTGTCTGGACTGGTTGTGCCTTCCCAATAGCACCTCAAGCCTAAGGAGAAGGGACGTCATTATCGGATTAAACTGGATTAACGTTACGTATCAAATTAAACGGGTAAAAATATAAATACTCATATACAACACATTTAATAAATAAATAAAAAATTTTAACACAAACACAAACCATTTAATAAACAAATAACACAACACGACTCGTTTAACCTATTTTTTTTTGCTTCCAAGTGTACTTTCCTAAATTTGAAGAGTTTCATCTAAAGCCAACAACCAACAACCATAGCCAACAGTCATAAGCCACAACCGATTAGCTGAAAAGCAAGAGGCCCACGATCTCTTTTATAGACAAACAAAGCTCGATCTCTCCACTCTTTTTGGCGATGTGGGATTCAAAGAAAAGACAATTCAATGCCTCAAACTGATTTCTTTACTTTTTTTTTTAAAATGATTTTTTTAGTGTTTTTTTTTACTCATTCATTATTTTATATTTATATAAAATAATTATTAATTTATTATTATATTAAATTTATTTAAACGGGTGATAAACAGGTTGACATGTCTCACCCAAACACGACCCGTTTATTAAATATGTTTAACGGGTTAATCCGTTTACCACCCAAACTCGTTAAGGTCTCACCCAAATCCGTTTAATTCGTTTTGATTAATCGTCTTGTTTCAAATTTTGACAGGCCTACTCTGGAGTTTCATAGAAGGTCCTTCGTTAATTGGAAAAACGACGGGAGCCCTTTCATCTCGGGTCAGTGAGTTTCTCAATAATACAGTTTTTATAAAAAAAAATAAAAATTATATATGTATATATATATTTTTTTTGAAGAAACAAAAATAAAAATTCTTATTACTCAAAAATATCCGAAATAAAAATCATGTTTAAACATGACAGTTCTGCGATAAATAAACTGCATTGGGTTAAGTGGGTTTTACATGCTAGGCATGAATCATTAGACGCGGGTGAGATTATAAAAGATATAAAAACAAGATAATGCCCAAAAACCCCGAAGAATAAATAGTTAGTTGCCCATGGCTCAAAGCTTGTTGTTGGTCAAACATAGTCAGTGGTTAAGTGATTTAGTTGGAGTGGGCTTACGCCCAATAGGAAATTGCCCAATGGATCTCTTAGCTTAGTCAATGAAACCAACATCTATATAATAACGTTAAAAAGATTTTAAATCTCTAAATTAAATTGAGCCTTTTAATTTATCAACCATAATAAAATATTATCTATAAATAGAGAAATACATAAAAATTGACATTATCTATTATTATTAACGGATGTTGTGATAGTTGTGGTAAGGGATAATTAGATGAAACCCAATTATAAATACACTTTTTGGGTTGCTCTGTTTTTTTTTTAAAATGTTTATACTTGCGCCGACTACCTTGTTCATTGGATTATCTACCAAATTTTTTTTTTTTTTTTTAAAATAGTGCATTGGGGTGGTAGTGGAAACAAAAAATCCAAGATAATACAACCCTAGTAGAAGTTAATTTATTTGTTAAGTTTTGCTTATAATATCACACTTGCAACATAGTACACATTTGGGTTTTTGTTTGGACATTAAAAAATTGTATATTGCTCATTCTCATGTCTCTGAAATCATTCAAACATCCCAATGAGATGAAGAATTGTTGTAAGACTTTCTCTAATCACATTCTATCACTTGCTGGTAAATATTATGTTTGACAAATATTTGAAATATTTCACATAAAAATAATGAATTTAAGATTATGTTTGGTTTTCTAAATATCACAGTCAAATTGAGCTCTCTATTTTACTTGTACAAAATAAAGATTCCATTTGATGTTGATTTTTTGTGATTGACTCACTTAAATATTGAATCGTTCAGAAAAGGTGATGTTAGACATGGAGTGAGTTTTCCCTCTACACACTTTCTTTCAATTTCACCCAAGAGTTAATCACCCAAGTTGAGAGACGCATGATGATACCAAAATTAATAGTGCGATCTTCCACCCTCGATTGAAATTGAAAGAAAACGTAATAAAAGAAACTAAATCGATTGAAGATGCTCTAAAAAGAATCGATCAAAAAGACAAATCATATTTCAAGCAAAAAAAAGAACATTCTAACAATATTCGAGTTACATTCTCCTGTAAAAATTTCCTGTCCACTTTGGCTATCAAGTCTTCAACTATGATCTTATGGTTTCTACTTTCTATTATTGAGGGGGTGAGGCTTGGAAGTAGCAAAAAAAAGGGAAAAAAAGAATGAATTGGATATTGATAGTTGGGACCCAATATAAATATAGAAACATGAAAGAGCACCGCCCAAACAAAGGCATCCAAGAAAAATATATGGGGGATTAATGTGGTCGCTATTCAAAATTAATGATCATATATATATATATATATCTGTGTCTGAAATGCCCGCAATCCAATCGAAGCGGTTCCACCCCTTGGCGCTGTTCATAAACCATAGTGACGCTTTAAAGCTATTAGAATTGACAGATTTCATGGTCCACCAAGGGGGCCATTGGGGTGTCATTTCATTGCAAATTGAAAGACATAATTACTATGTTGAAGTGTTTGTCGTCGACCTGTTTCATTTGATGGGTATGAAAAAAATTTAGGTTTAGAGTTTTAGTTGATAAATATAAGGAATGAGATTCTTTGTTTGATAAGTTTCGAATGAACAATATAAAATATCCCTAATTTGTTGTCTATATAGTGAACATGTGAGACTTTCCGTTTAAAAACCTAATGGTTGTTGACATAAAGACTTAATTACTACAATTTTAGAGTTTAACGGTTCAATTGACATAAAAATTAGTTCAATGACACAAGAGCCATAGTTTTATAGGTTAGTTGTGTAGTTTACTCTATATCTTATATCGGGTGAATTTGACTATGAACGATTACAAATTAGTCAGATGTAGATTAAGCATAAAAATTTAATACGACATGTCTCATTGTCAACCTTTATGATAAAATAAGGCAAAGTTAAAGAGTAACTCTGTACAAAGTTGGACATTTTAAATTGGATTAAGTTATTGGGTTAGTACCAGGATTAGTCTGATTGCAACATTTACCCATGAAAATAAGTCAAGTTGTAGATAGGGGGGGAAAAATCTAATACATAGTGCATAAGATTATTATCTATAATAAGAAAGTTGTGAAAAAAAATCAAATAAAAAAATGACATGATTGCATTACTAGGTCTAGTTAAGTGAGGAAAAGATATCTCTCCTACATCAATGAGTTTCTTGGTTCATATTCTCTTTTAATTGGCTTTTTATGACAGGGTGACGAAAAGTGCAACTTTTATGTCACGAAGGGATATTGAAAATCTGGAAAGTGGATCTTTTTTAAGTAAAAAGAGTGATATGAAGTATGGCAAAGTTATCCAAAACCCACTCAATTATGCATGCATGGTCACAAAATGGAGAGACACTTTCTTAGGTGTGGCAATCCCCACCACCAAGGAACTCCTTCGCATTCTGATAAGAGAATGACTTCCACTTCCCATGAATATGGGTGAAAAGATTAGTGAATTAATAAGACCCACTAATTTATCCATCGATTATAATTCAGATATAAAATTTGAAAAATTAAGTGCAAATATTTTTACCAGTAAAAAGGGATACAATCCTCTTTCAATTCTAATGATTTGTTAAAAATGATTACCCCATTGAGTTTAGTACCATCCTAAAAGTAACTACTATAAAATAAGAATGATGCTTATATTCAACTTGGCGAAGTTAGGACTCTGTTTGTTTCAATTTGTAACACCAATGATTAAGTAACTGCGAAAAAAAATTGGCATAAATCCCAACTTTCAATCCAAAATGATTCTCCTTGTCGAAATTTCATTGAATTAGGTAAA